ATAAGGTCTCTGGCTTGCCTGTGAGCTCTCTGTAATGTGAAGATGCTTAGTGTAATTGTACTGACTGCAGAAGTGAAATCAATGGGGAAGCTTATCTGTTCTTCCCCATGACATTTGTCTTTGAAGCTTAGACTTTGCATTGTGACAATGTCCAGGTTGCTATTAGAAAATGTGACAAACTAGGTGGATTATAAAAACAGAAGTTTCTTCCTTAGAGTTCCAAAGGCTGAGAAGTTAAGTTCAAGGCAGAGTTGGTATTCTGTGACAGATTGCTTTCTGACTCAAGAGTTCTTTCTTGCTGCATATGTGCCTGGTGCTAGGGGGATGGGGTCTCCCTTTGGCTTGTTTTTAAAGACACTAATCCAAGTCCCGAGGGCCCCACCTACATGACCTTATCCTTGGCTAGTGAGCTGATACAGCAGCTTTGAGGATAAGGTTTCAGTATATGAATTTGAGAGGGAGACCCCAGCATTCAAATGTCAAGAAGGAAATTGGCACGAATTAACATGTGAATACTTGCTTTGACTAACTTACCCTTTTTGAGATTTGGTAAACTCTGTTTGAGGAGAGAACTAGGCAATTTCATATCCAAGGAAGTGCTCTCTGTTAAATTTAGCAAATTGTTAATTTATCATTCAGATATGTAAAATATAAAGGTCACAAAGATCAAAGGAAAAGAAATTAAGTGCTGATTACAACAGGGAGTATATAATCTACAACTGTGAAATTATACGTGTTGTAACATAGTGAGTTCTCACAGACATACTTTCCAGTCTTCAACAGGTCAGAAGTGCAATCCTTCACATTCTGCTGTTTTATGTGAATTAATTTTTATTCACATAAAATGGTAAAGATATTGACGTGTTTGACAGTGTAGCGTCTACGTGGCCAGATCTGAATAGTTTTGTGAACAGGTTAGATTGTGCAAAGTCAAGAACGTCACAGAGGTTCTTCAAGAACTGAATTCAGTTCTTAAAGTTTCATGAATACACTTCCAAAATTTTTCTTACTGATGATAAGTTTAATTAAGCAAGAAGGTTCACAGACGGCTCCTCTGGCTGTTTGCTGTTTCCATTTGTACCCAGCTGGGGCTTTGGTATGAAGTGTATATTTAAGAAATGACAAAGGAGGCTCCCATTCTTGCATCTTGCCAGGAGGCTCTAAACTGGACTGGGAAGCTATTTGTTCAGCATCTAGTGAGTGTGAAAGTTCAGCTTAGGGAAAGAAGGAATAAGAAGCTGCCACAGGCCAAACCCCGTTCTCCAAGCATAGTACCAGCAATAAAGCTGATAAAGTCGGTACTGTGATTTTCATGCTAAAAATAAGATCAAAAAATTGAAATTAAAAAGAAAACTGAACAGTTTTAGTTTCTTTGATTATAGATGGAAAATTAGAACTCATATGTGTCAGTAACTAGTATGTTATTTTTCTTTTCCATACATGGAAACAAGGGATGTGCTTAAAGACGTGGAATAAACATGATTATTCTTTAGATTCTCTTAGCAAAAGCTTACAAACTTCAGAAAGCACGTAACATTTAAATCTGTGCAGATAATGATGACTAAAAAAACCCCAAAGCCTTGAACCGTCTCGTCATTTCGGCTTAAGTATACTGACAAGATTACTGTTTTGGATTTTGAGTATCTATTTGAAACGAACTTTCTCATTGCATTCTTCTTTCTCTCCCCTCACCCCTCTCCCCACTGTTTCTTCCTCCCCTTCTTCTGTCCTCCTGCATGGTGCTCCTGTACTCTTCTCCTCTGGCTCTCTTTGGCTTCCAGCACTCCATCGGAGTGGCATTTCGGATGGCTCTGACCTTGTTCATCTCTCTTCACAAGCCATCTGACACGCTCATGACCTTGTGTCTCCAGACAGCTGCCGTGCACCCTGGGTGCTGCTTACTGTGGAAGGGCCCTCAGGTAGACAAAATGATTCCTCTGGCATCCTGTCCATGGTGTTACTACCCGATACAGAAGGATGGGCAGAGGGAGGACAGGCCCTGTGACCTCGGCTGCCAGCCACAAGGGACTTCTTGGTCGTAACTCACTAGAGTGAACTTTCAGCTTCCCTGAATCTGTTCCAGTTCAGTTTCCTTAATCATAATTCAAGAGCACTTCCTGGAGTGGTTTTTTTTTTTTTTAAACCACTACATTTGTCTGGGGACACCACTGGCTTTTATACATTGCATTAATATTACAGAAAAGTGATACTTCTTTGCATTATAAGTTCAACTTTTTCAAAATATTTCCTCTTCCCCCTCCCTAGGGTGACGGCTTTAGCAGTTCTTTGCTCCCCTTGATTGGATGAAGAAGTACTCATCCACCCTCAGAAATACCAGCTGTCATCTCTCTGGGTTTCTGAGCAGAGTATTTAATTTTCCTCCACAGAAAAAACTTCAGATGTAAACTCCAGTTGGATAGAGAAGCCAGCAGTGTGGCAAGGCCTGCTGGTGACCTCACCTGCAGGGATTGTGGCGCCATGCCTGCCTGCACATCCATCCACCAGGGGTTTGTCAGGCAGGAAATCCTGTCAAGTTCCTGCCCAGGCTTACCAAATGGAGCTCTGAAGGATTTCATTCTCAGCCCAGTCTCCCTCCTTATTAAAACATGTACGGAAGCTTTTTTACCCATGAGTTCTTACTGACAGCTTGACCTCGGGTCAGGATGGTGGATAAAGATAAGAACGTTCCATGATAGGCATGGTCCAAAAAACACATGGAAACTTTGGTACAGATCTGGCGTGAGAAGGAGTCTTAGTGATGATAGCCCAGCCCTAGAAATGGGGTGCCTGTCATAGAGAGCAGGGGTCACTATAAATCACTGAAAGTGAAGCTTTGCAGTTGGGCAGACATAGACTGGATCCTGGCCTTGGTCCTTGTAGCTATGTTCTTTTGGATCTCAAGCCTCAGTTGATACCATCTGTGAACACTATTAAGTTACCAGAATTTTTATGAGAATCCAATAGGAAAATATATGAAATGCTGAACACAGTTCCTAGCATGAAATAAGTGACAAATGATTATTGATTTTACTATTGATTTGGGACTCACTCTGCTCTAATGCTTTCTAAATCATTATGAAAGCAAATGAAAGACAATGATGTGATTGTCTGGAGTTTCTACAAGAGTACTATGGAGAGAGCATTACGTTTCACTTGCCTTCACGATAGGGTATGTGTCACTCCCTAGGACCTGGTGAAGGTCTTGCGGTGATGGCCAGGGATACTTTTAAGGTTTCATCTTCTAGACCCCCAACTTCTGACTATTCTTCTAAAAGTAGACAGGGCTTCCTTCCCATCTGCTCCTTCACATTTGCTTTCTTGCCCGTTTGATACATGAAGAGATTTCTCTTACTCATCTCAAATCTTTCCATGGCATCTTGTCCTGTGTTGAAAATCTAAGACCCCAAGAGGATCCATTGACAAGATGACAAGAGTAAACTTGAAATATTGGTTTTAGTGGCATCTTCTTGGTTAAGGACATCATGAATCTGACTCTTACTGGGAGCTGTCTTCAAAAAAAATTACTTTTTATTTTAATGAATTGAATTGTTAGGCATAGTGGCCCATGCCTTTAATCCCAGCACTTGGAGGCAGAGGCAGGTGGATCGCTGTGAGTTTGAGGCTTCCATAGTAAGTTCCAGGACCATCAGAGCTACATAGTGAGAGCCTATCTTGAAAAACCAAACAAAACAAAACCCAACCAAACAACCAAACAACCTCATAAAATGTTAGTGATTGTGCTACCTTAATCATAGAGTGCTAATGGCATCTGTGGTGATTATCTATTTCAGGAGAATTTCTTTATACTTGGAGCTCAGTGATTGATTATAGGGGATTTTAGAAAAGAACATTTGAAAAATATCTCTGGTTTCAAAGTACTCCAATGGTGGTTAGTAGGAGACCTGAATGCAAATTTTTATATTATATTATGAAATTTTGGTGAGAAATTGTCATAAAAATATGATTTCAAAAAGAGAAGAGAACGAACAACATGAACTATCCATCTGCTAAAGAAATTGATTTGTTTTTCATGGATGATAGTGGATATCACATAATTACAATTTTATGTTAACTTGGATGAATTTTAAAAATTTGAAGTTGTAATAGTTGTCAAACATTTTATATTAGGTTTTTAAGCTTATGATGGAAAAGGTTAGGTATCAGTTTAATAAAGAGGCTCCAGAAACAGTTCTTAATGATTTGGGAAAGGAAGACAGCAAAGGGTTAAAGACGGTCCTGTCTCATTGCTGTAGATTTCTCACCTAAGAGGAGCAGCTCTGTCCTGTTCAGGGTGTGACCTTCTCTCTTCATGACAACCTTCTGCTAAGTGAACCTTTGGCTGAAAATCAAGGAAGTGTAAGGTGTGCCAGGAGAAAAGCAGGCCCCTGCATCTTGGAGTTCGTGGGCCGCCTTCATTCTTGGGTTTAGGGACTGGCTATTGATGGGAGCTCCAGCACTCAGATAGGTGTGCAGTTGAGGTGAGCATTTCGGCCTCTCAACAATGACACCACAGCTTTATATCAAGTACATGGCTGGTGTTTTCATGTCCCGGAGACACTGCTGCTTCCAAGGCACAGGGAGATTGATGTCCTCGCTTGTCAGTTAAATCTGATGAGACCACAGTTGCTTGGCAAGGTGGTGGGAAGATCTCTCTGAAGAACCCTGACAGCCCTATGGTTAAGTGATGAAATGACTTCTTTGTGTAAACTTGGACAGTTAGCTCCCAGAGCTGTCCACCATTTTCTCTGATTTCTGATTTCGTCTTTATGACTTGGACGTAGTAATCTGATATTCTGAAAATACTCAGAACTAAAGACTGAAACAAAATTTTAAACTGATGCCACTGTGTTGCGGGATTTTTTTGTTTTGTTTTTTCCATTGAACTATGCTAATTCTACATCTTGCATGGTTTCTTTTAATTCATTTTAAAGAGCATGCTTTATGTACAAAGCAAGCAGTTAAATTCAGTGAAATAAACTCTGCTTTGCTTTTTCTTCCAGGTGAAAAGAAATGGGCTCTCTCAGACAGTGAGCCAGGAGGAAAGGAAGAGACAGGAGGTACGGTTATCAACTTAGGACTATATGTATTTTATTTTTTTTGTCTTCACCTGCTATGTGTGCTTGTCCAATGTTTGGAAAGATACTGTGAACACAGCAAGTTTTATCTTTGAATAAAGCTTCACATGTCTTAGCCCTCAAAACAGAAAAAAAAATTATAAATGTCTTTTCAGTCTTTTCAGCATTGCTCTGAAACAACAAAGGGCATCAAAGAAATATGTTGAAATACAGACATTAGATCCTGGGGCTGAAAAAGCCCAAATCAGAAACCCAGTGCTTTTATTAGTCCCTACACAACATACCCTGATCATCCATGCACAATGTTTGGGGAATAAATGATACTTCTCTTTTCTTATTATATATTCAAGAATTTCTCCAAAGTTTGAAGTTTAATGAAAAAAAAATCCCACTTCTATATCTTATGCATTTGAACTTTGTCTGTTCCTATTGAATTCTAAGTGTTGATGGGCTGCTTCAGTCTGCTACTCCTGTCTCTTCCTCAGGCTTACCCCCTGCTTGCTCTGCAGTAGTCAGTGCCTCTTTGGTTACACAGTCAACCTGTGTCACTGTAAACTCTTCCCCATTGGAGAACTTGCCTTTGCGTGTGATCTCTGCTGTGGAGTTCAATACATCTTTTGTCTGTCTTTGTACTTTGAGTGCAAGTGCTGAAAATATTTGAAGTCATTCCAAGCCCCAAAATACATCAAGCATCTATTCCTATAATTTTTGCTCAGGAATGGCGAATTTTCTTTACTTTTTTTCTTTTCCTTATTTATTTATTTATTTATTTATTTACTTTTTATTTCTTAGGGACAGTTTTGTTGATTGTATAGATTTAAACAAGGTACAGGCTAACTCTTAGTGTTCTTACTCTTTAAAATGGAATTTTTAAATAGATTTTTTTAAAAAAAAACAATTTTCTAAAATGTAAAAAAAATAAAAATATTAAAAAATAAAAGTTTTAAAAGTAGTTATGTCAGTTATCTTCTTAGCTGAGGCTAGACCAGCATTTTAAGGTCAAGCCCTCCAAAACCTTACAGATACTAAAAAGGGTAGTAAAGGCTGAAGTTAGCTCTGCTAACTTGATGTAGGAGATATATTCCAGCAGCTGGGAATCCACCTGCCTGTGTCTATCCTTCTCCCACTCAGCTACTTTCCTCTGTGTTCTTGGGACAGGGGCTTGAACGAGACAAGACCTAGAGGTCAAGGTATCCAGGCTTGTAAGAATGTTTACACATACACTCCACCCCACACATGGGGAAATTCCTCAAGCATTCCCGTTAGTAGAGAGTCTAAGTCTGAATTTGTTGAAGAGGTAGATGAATTCTTTACACAGGGCGTTGGTGTGTCTGTAGATGTGGCCTGGCATTTCATCATCCTTAGTTATCAGAAATCTGTGTCTGTCACCAAGGGTCTCTGCTGAGGGTGCCTTGTTCCTTCTCGAGACACTGATGAGTGTAGAGGGGGTGGCTTGTTGAACAGATGGAATTACTTTCAGATGAATGAGTTATATAAAAGAATTCCTGTGGCTGCTAAGAACCTTCTCAGGGTAGGTGCAGGCATGCCACACAGGATTTGCTGCTGTTGACTGAAAATTCATCACACAGAGAGAGGGGACAGTTGCGAGAAGATGATCGTAAATTCTCATGCTCCCTGAAGCAGTACGCTTTGAAAGCAGGGCTGGAAGAGATGACCCCAAAGGTTAATTAGTGTCGCAGTGAGATTTTATGACATGCCCTATTTCCTTCCATAGATTGTACCCTGTGGCAAAGGCATGACCTCAGGTCCTGGTGGAAAGTCATCCTGGCTCTTTCACTCTTCCTGGTATGCAGGCGGTTACAGTCCTCAGTTTAGGTACCTTCTCTGAGGAAGGTAATTTGGTGATTCAATTACCGAGCTGTTCCTATAGACAACAGTGGAACCTGGGTTTAATTCTTCTTCTGTTGAAAATTACCAACATACCTTTTCTTCTTTCCCAGGCAATCTTTGAAGTCATATCGTCAGAACATTCCTACTTACTCAGCTTGGAGATCTTGATACGGATGTTTAAAGACTCGAAGGAACTGACTGATACAATGACCAAGACAGAGAGGCATCACCTTTTCTCCAACATTACTGATGTCTGGGAGGCGAGCAAAAAGTAAGTGCTCCTCCGTGTCCCTGTGGCCAGTCTGGGTCAGCACTTACCAGACCACACCTGTGTCCTCTGCCAGTGGGTTAGGGAGCCTCTGGACCACCCAACTGGCTGGTGTCCTTATACCATGAAGTCAATTTTAAGATGTGTTTTGAGTGGCCCATTTAGATGTTTAGCATCTGTGCTTGCTACTTGTCTCAGCAGGGAGCTACCTCGGGTGTTTCTCTGCACCTGCTCTTCCCTTCTCTTCTGTTTACAGGAGCAGGCAGTCTGTTCTCCGCTGTGATACTTGTCTATTTTAGTAAAAAAAAGAGAAGCTTGATCTATGGATGCAATATTTGGGTAGACTCTAACAGTGTTTTTAATTGTTTTTAATTGCTTTGCTCTTGCATCTTCTCACGAGAAGTTAATACCTTTTGTAATACGTTTGCATACATTCAAAACTTAACATTTTCCCACCAGATTTGCTTTTATTCACTTAAATATTTTCAGGTATACACAGATGAAATTATATTGATAATTTCCTCACTGTTAAATAAAGAAAAACATTTCCTTATATAACTACACTTTTCTTTATAATTTTATTCTATTTGATTTTTTTATGTGTGTATAGGTGTGTATGTAATAGGTTCATTTGTTTGAGAATGAAGATGTCACACAAACTTATATGGTAAGGATTCCCTTTATGAATTGCTTGCTGGCCACCTGAAAAGCATCTAGAGCAAACATTCCTTCCTCCTTATGTATGTATCCTACAAAATAGATTATGATTTAATAAGAAAATTAACTTTTTCTCATTTTTTATTTAAATGGTAACATTCTGTGGAAAACGATTCTCCCCTATCCCCTTTCACCTAAGTTTTACAAGACATAACATGTCTGTACTTAAAGGTCTCTCCCTTTTAAAATATACTTTTTTTTTTTTTTGCAAAATATTTATCAAAGTCACCAGATCATGAGTTCTCCAGCAGTTCTCACGGTGCAGAACATGGCGGTGCTGATCCCTCTCAGATTTGTCAGTTCAGTAAGGAGTGCAGAATGCTGGTCTTCTAATCCAGTGTGCTTTGTTCATCTAAGGGAAGTGCACATGTGCCTATTAGTATACAGTGATGACCTTGCTCTGTTGTTGATGTCCAAGTTTTTCTAGTTTTAGTCTAAGTAATCTCTGGCCTTTTTGCTAAGAAGTATTTCAAGATATCAGTTTTATAATTCTTACTCTAGATCTGGAGTTAGCTGCTTTTCTGAAGAACTTTAGAATCATCTGATATCTTAAAAGAATTCAGGAAGTGCTCATTGCTGGATGGTTTTTGACCTTCAGTAGATAACCAAAAACGAAAAAGTCCAAATTTACACCTATAGAACAAGATATACTTTTAAAAAAAGTCTATAAGTATTCTAAGCTTGGCAAAATATGTGCACTAATTATGCAACTTTTATACATTAGTTCAAGCTCTATAAAGCTTACACAGTTTTACAAAACCAAGAAGCCCACCTTCTATCTCTATCCCATCTACCCTGATCCCTTCTTATATCCTTAAATTTTTAAAAATTACTGGGTTTTATTTCAATTATTTTGGGGTAGGGGTGTGGTGTGGGTCAGACGATAATGTACAGGAGTAAGTATTCTTTCACCATGTGAGTTCTGGGAATCGAACCCATGTTGTCAAGGTTGGTGGCAGGTACCCTTAGCTGTTGAGGCATCTTATTACCCTCCTCTCAAAAGTTACTGTTCATCTTTGTCTTTAATATTAGTGTGTGTGTACATATGTATACACATATATATTGTATTGCTTCCCTTAGATACTACAAACATATCCTTACACTTTTCTCAACCTTTCTTTTTTCATATAATGAGATGGTTTAGAGATTGTGCCCTAGTCACTTATTTCTTATCTCTGGCTGTATGGCTCTCCATTAAGAGGCTGAGTTTCGGCTCTTTGATGCAGCCCTCTACCTATGGACATAGACTTTTGTTCATCCTCTCTATTGTAGAGCTTTGCTTCATGCATGTGACTTGTGTCTTAGTTATTTTATCTTTGAAAAATATTTGTAGAGGAATTGCAGTATCAAAGGGTAAACATTTATGCACTTTTGTAACGTATTGCCAAATTCCCCAGAAAATATTTCAACCACCTTGTATTATCATTAAGAATAGATAAGCCCTGGCATCCCTACAGCTTCTCCAGAGGTCTGTCTAATAAGTAAGATGTCTTATCTCAATATAGTTTCAGCATTTCTTCTGAAATTAGTTTTTATTTTTCTAATTAAAGCATTCTAGAACATACTATCGTTCAACTGATACTATGGCGGTTTATTTAGACTATTTTCACTAATGAACATAGAACATTGGAGCCCTGGGTACTAACCACAGCGTTATCGTATACTTTCGTGTTGCTTAACAGTCGGGATAAGATCTCACAATCCATCACTGGGAAGGGATTTTGTCATTGTGAAAAAGTCTAAGATTGGGTGCACTTGCACAGACCTAGACAGTTTGCTACACACCTAAGTGATATGTACATGTGGACGATGCTGGCTGTTTCTCTTAGAGCCATAATGAACAAAACAGAATTAAAGAAGCATAAGAGAAAATAAAACACAGGAAATGTGTGATACAAGAAGCTCCTGCCAGTGTAACAAGGAATAAATATGGCTGTATAAACTTTTCTTCTTTAAGTGAACAGAGTATTAGTTAAGGATAAAAGGATAGCACGGAAAGTTATGAGTCATTGCCTTGATGTTACCATTGTCAAAGGTTTGTACTACTCTGTCCTTATACACCTGGCAGTCCCAAAGGTTTGTTTATACCAGCGTCACCACAAACTTGAGCACAGTGTTGTTCTATGACCACATGGCCACTATGGAATTGTTAGGCACTAGAAAGTTTTTAGTGGCCCACTGCTGACCAACAGGTCACATAGTGCTTGACAATGCACTTTTGTGGGTAACTTGTAACATGCAACATGGCAACCAATCAAAAAAAAAATCTAGGAGTCAAAGTTTCTTGAAAGATTTCTAAACTCAATAGTGTGGGTTTAATTGAGTTATAGATCTATATCAGGAATAATTATGCAATCAATTAAAAGCCTTAAAAGAATGTTTTAAAATATTAAAATTTTCATAATATGTTGTTAATGAATATAAAGTAGATCCAAAGAGGAGGATTTTAGATTGTATTAGGATTTAATTGTTTGAAAGTTATACTTTTTTTAAAAAATATAAGGGACGGAGTATGGTTATAGCTCAGTTGGTAGGGTACGGTCTAGCATGCAGGAGAGCTTGCGTCCATCTGCAGTAATTCATAAACTGGGTATAGTGACTCTTACTCTGAGTCCACAGCTCTTAACAAGAGTTAAGTTTATCACTGATTACCTATTGAACTGGCAGCTACCTTGGTCTACACAAGACTTGTCTCAAACAAAACAAAACAAAAGCAAAAACAAAAACAACAAACCCATAAAGAGTAATTACCTTTGATAGAATTATTGTTTCAACTTTTGTAGTTTCCCTTGTACAATTTGTCCCACACTTACCTTAGTCAGACAAAGAAGCACATAAAAGGAAAAACAGGACATGTGACATGAAATGTATACCAAAAATACAGTAGAGACACTGAGCAAGTTAATGGCAGTATTGAGTTAATCATGAAATGAGTCAGCTTGTGAAATTCTATTTTAATTTTTACCATTTATATAGTTTAAATAGTTCATGAATTTATTAAAAGGTTTTCCTTTATGTAATAGCATATAGTAAATAGCTATTCTGAACATTAATATCTAAATTTTATTTAAAAAATAAAGCTCTGGGGTCCGCAGAGATGGCTCAACAGGTAAGAACACTTGTTGTTCTTGCAGAGGATCAAGATTCAATTCACAGCTGGGCGGTGGTGGCACACGCCTTTAATCCCAGCACTTGGGAGGCAGAGGCAGGCAGATTTCTGAGTTCGAGGCCAGCCTGGTCTACAGAGTGAGTTCCAAGACAGCCTGGGCTATACAGAGAAACCCTGTCTCGAAAAAAAAAAAAAAAAAAAAAAAAAAAAAAAAAGATTCAATTGCCAGCATCCTCATGGTGGTTCATAACCACCCATCAAGTCAGTTCCTGAAGACCCAGCACCCTCTACTGACTTCTGTGTACACATTCAGGAAAACACTCATATACACAAAATAAATTGTTCTAAAACAAAACATAAACAAACAACAAAGAAAGAAAAAACCCTTAACTCTGGAATTTTTAGCTTTTATTAAAGAAATAAAACCAAAAGGACCCTAATTGTTTACATTTCTACTTTGTTTCCAATACAGCACAGTGCTCTGACTTGGACAGCTGCTCAGGTTGGGCGATCAATATTTTAACTGAGCCCCTTCTGTCTGATAACTCTGTGTTATTATTACAGTAACTCCAACTACAGACATTTATGTCATGAAACTGGAAAGTCATTTCATTGGTAGCCTTTTAAAAAACTGAAAGTTCTTAGGAGACTTGCAGAGCTTTTGCGATGTAGCAATGTCTGCTTGATAGACTCCAAGAGTGGCTCCTGGGTGAAGACGTTCATCATGGCACCCATACAAGGATCTCAGTGTAAGAATTTGTAAAACCTCGGTGAATGTGCACTACTGTGCTGATGAGGCCGTGCTGTGCGGATGCAGCAGAGCCATGCCTGTGTGCAGGATTGTTCTTTGATGTAATGAAAAACGATAGCAGCAGGTGATAGCATGGTTAGTGTAGATGGAGGTCAGGACACAGCTGACATCCAGATCGAGAGGGTGGCATCTGGTGCCCTTTATGGCACCTCAGGCTCCTCTGATTTCTAATTAAATGCCAGGAGGCCCTTCCATGTGAGATAGCATTTGCACACAGGCAGCAAGGACAATAACCATTCTGATTTTCAGTGTAAACATAGGCTGCTGTCAGTGTCCCTTTCAGATTCTCTTCTTTGTATTCTAGATGAATACAAAGTATTCATCTCAGTTACCCTTACAGAGCTCTGGGTTATATTACATTTTAGC